GCGGAACTGCCAGCTAGTACCAGAACGCAAGCTTTTAACAAAAATTCGCAGAAGCTGAACTCGATGGGCCACGTTCCTTCATGACGTGGCCGAAAGAGGTACAAAACCCATTCAGCTACGGAGATATTTGATAATATCAACCCCAAGACAAACAGCCTGAGAACAAAGGCAGCTGAGAAGACAGCCTAGTGGAGTCTATTGTCCTTGCCTGATGAGGGAAAAAAACGGGGAGGGGGAGAGAAAATGAATTCCAAGCCTCCAGACTGTACTCTCCACCCGGGTCTAAAAAGCAGCATTTAGGTACAAAGCAGTAGAGACACTAGACCCAGAGATAATTGCATAATTAATATGGCCACTAACCCTCATGAAGAAGACTAAGGTGATAACATAATGTGTTTAATAACAGCATTAAATTCATTCTTGGCAGATTAATTTCCCTTCAATGAAACTTTCAGCCAAGTTTTCAATTGTATTTTAAATATTCTCATTGTGTGCACTGAAAGAACCCTCCGACATTCACGAGGCGTTAAAATAATACACACAAAACACAACAACATGCGTTTTTAATACCAAAGAATAAATGTAATCCCCAGCAAATAAAGCCATGTTACTGAGGTGTGAGAAGTCCCGGATTCCCACTGTGTATCGCTTGTGCAATGGGTTTAACCAGGCCTGAGTTTTACTTTCTCAGCAGCAAGTCCTCTTAAGGAGGACGAAGTAAACGCAACAAACTTCTTGTCCAGAAGACAAAAGCTTCTTTTACGCATATATACATGAAAACGCACCAAATTTGGGGGCCTTCAAAGCCTGCTGTGTTTCAGCTAGGGCTTGACAGGATTTCTAACGCAATGTTAAAGTAATTTAGTTTAAACAATGGCCAAGCCATTTGTCAAAGCCCATTCCTCAACTCTTACTTGAAACTGAAGTTCCTGACAAATTTATTCCGCTCAAAATTATCTTAAATATGAAGTTGTGAGAGAAAACTGCAGCTCTTACGCAACACACAGGCAAATCCACACCTATAGAATCTATACAGGAGCTGTGGGTGATTGTTTCTGAAATACAGCACCAGGTAGAAAAGAAAAACGGAAGTTTTGGGAAGGAGCAATAGCTCTACACGTGACCCACACCAAGCACCGCTCGCAGATATCATTGCCCTACAAGCTGGAGTTGAAAGTTACCTGGAAAAGTCGACTTTAAACCCAAACTGTGACATTCTTAGAACGCACAGTTTCTCCTTATATTCGTAATAAGCCACTCAACCATCAGGAATCCGATGCCTGTCCTTGGTAATGCTGTGACCTCGGCGTGCCAGTGGCTGACGTACCCAAACCCAGCTAAATTTTAGGCAGATATCAGGAAAAAACCGCCAAACAACCTGGCAGGGTTTTGTTGGCATGGCAGCGATCGGGGTGCATGCAGGGAGGGGCAACTGCGTGCAACACCCAACTGAGGGGCAAGCTGGAGGAGCAACACCGCGTTAACTAGAAGAAGGAAAAAAGGCCAGAAAACCCATTTTGCTGATTTTTATAAACCCGCTTTCTAAGTCTCCACCTTCTCCCAAACCGCCTCATGGCGGGGGCTGCCCACCTCGCACACGCCGAGGAAGCAAAGCGTGTAATTACGTGTAATTACACCGCGCCAATCAGGGCCAGACGCAGCTCCGGGGCAAGGAGAACACGCCAGAAGATGCTGAATTCTATTGACTTCCAGGTTGTTTTCGCCGTGTAATTATTTACATCCCAACGAAGTCAACCAGACAGGGAAAAGAACAAATGTAATTTTTTTCCCTTTAAATACGATTAGCCAGAAACTTCTTGGTGGTGGTGAGAAACCCTTCGAGGCCCTCGCACCCGCGCCGCGAGGGGCTCGACGGACTCCAGCTCCTCTCGCTTTCCCTCCCGAGCAAACTTCGGCCCTCAACGGCAGCCGCCGCTTACAGTTTTCCCCTTCCAGGCCGGCGTCAGGCATGGACAATCCCGTTTCCAGCGGGGTAACGGCCGCCCCGATCACCCGGGGCGATTTTTGAATGCGACGAAAAAGGAGTCGGAAAATTAATTACGAGGAGCCCGGGCATCATCCCGGCGTTGGGTATCGAAGCGCTGCCCGGCAGACGGGAGAGGAAAGACACGGAAACACCGGGAAACGGGGAACTTTCCGCCTCCGAAGG